ACTCAATAAAAATAAAAAGTCTTCGAAATCTTCCCTTCACCTAAAAAAATTTGCGTAGGGGTGAGCATTGAATTGAACGTTGTAATTTTCTTGATACGCCTCTTTGCTTTCTCGAGTCAAAAATAAAACTTTCGATTGTCGTTTTGATTTCATCGTTCCATTTGTCATTTATCAAAACCTGAAAAATAATATTAACGAATATTCAAAAGGGGTTTGAACTAATGTCCAACAAGAGCTACCACCCATGATGCTCTTGCCGCCCAGGACCCTAAGTTTAGCCCCAAAGCCTACGATGTGCCACTGGTACCCGAAGAAGAGCCAGTTCCCCCTTTCCCCTTTTCTTGAACTCAGTTTGTTTTTAGCTTTCCAAGCATTTTGTTTTTTCCCAAGTATGCCCGGTGATGTGTTATGTACTCTTTTAACTTGTAATTTGTCACCTGGTACCCCTGCGTGCCATTAATGTATAACTTTTCTCTTGTTTAGATTACCTGGTGTATGCTTCTTTGCGACTATTTGATTATTTCTTTATCTATTTTACCAATTGGCATGTTCCCTTATCTTGTATTGCTTTCTTGATATCTTTAGGGTAGCTGGTTAATGGCCTAACCTTAGGATTCCGCTTGTTCTTTCTAGCTGCCCCGTCCTCAAAGTGATCTTGAAGGAAATCCTTCAAGTGTTTTTTGTCCCCTAGTCACGAACCCTTTGGGTTTCTTGTTAGACTCACCCAGTCCATCCTTGATATTATGACCTGGTCTAAGCTTTAGACTTTGAAAACGAAAAAGTTCATCCTTGTGCGAAAGTTACTCGGTTTCTCGAAGCAACCCGGGTATCTCTTCTTCTTTTTACTTAGGTTGTAAGTGAGCAAACATGTAGCGATAGGGAGTGCTTTGGCCTGGCCAGTTAACACTAGAGACTTAAACTATGTCAAATGGTTTCGAGCCCACTCAAAGGCTCAAATGCCCCTCTCTTCCAGGGCCCTTTATCACTAATATCTTGATTAAACACAATGTATGGGGTGTTTCACCTTATTAGAGTTAAATTTATGATTTACTCATTCTTTGATTGACTTCAATCAGTGTGCCCTAAGATATTACACTTCACTAAGGAAGGGATAAATTATATCTACGTCATTCACATCTCCACTTAAGCTTCTTTGCATACCCAAGACATAATTGTACGTCCACCAATATTTCAGATGACATTAACTATGCATCAAAGTATGAAAGTCAACTTACCACAGATCGTAATAAATTCAAGTCGAAGGATAATTATACTAATTGTCTCATGAAAATAATATTAATACATTAACATGATACCCACATATTATTCTCATTGCGGGTCAATCTAGCTACATATCCAATATGCTTGCCTACGTATAGATTCAGATAACACTTTATCTATAGCCTGTGAGACAAAACTGTCTCATACGTATTAATCTTATCATATTATGACATTGTAT